TATATATATATATATATATATGGGCCCATTTTTATGTTTCGTACAGAGCCTTCAAAAACAACGGACCGCCCTGGGCACGATGTAGATTGGATACGTATGAATTCCGATCACACGAGAATTGTTCCATTTTGCACTTAGTCATCATGACATGACTAGGTACAGATGCAAATAACAAATCATACTTTTACTTACATACATCATATTAGAACCCATATGATTGGAACAAAATAAAATAAATAAATAAAAATAAATAAATAACTAACAACTTACGTCCAAATATATTAACATCAATTAGACCACGAGTCAAAGAATCAGCCCAAAGTCCATATTTGTTGTTTAACTAACACATCTTTCTTTGATCAAGGAGGAGTTTTAAGAATTTTGTTGTTTAAGTTGTTGATGCTGCTATCCATGAAGGCCTTTGTGTGTTGGGGGTTTATATTAGTAATTGCATGAGAAAAAAACGAACCAAAATAATCGGAAGTATCAAAATCGGTCATCGGGACAGCAGCAAATGGGTCAATTATTTTGGTTGGCGTCTTCATCATGTAGGATGATTCTAATGACTTAATCTCCTGTCCAGGAGGAACTGCAAAAAAAAGTCCATGGCCGGAATAATACGTAGATCTATACCAATCTACGGCCAGTCGATTCATTTCACCAAATCAGGGTTAGAACAAAGAACTAATTAATGACACCCAGAACTAATATTAACAATATTTTTCAAGAAATAAATAATTTCCAGATTGCAAGAAGTAACCTTGAATCCTTTTCTAGGAAAAATATAGGTTTGAAGTATTAGAAATTGCTCTTAGTTACACACAAAGATCTACTAAAAGACTTACTAAAACGAGATTAACATCGATACCTAAGGAACATCTTGGAAATCAAAAAGAATTAAAGAATATGAAATGCTAGTCGTAATTTGTATATTAATAGCAAGAGTCTCATGCATGATGCTATTAATAGATCCATTTATTTAATCTTTAGTCCTTAAATTCTTCTGTATTTACACATTCAGTACTCGTCACTTTCTTTTTTATTCCTCCGGTCCTTGATAAGCCAAAATCATCCAACGTACTCTCTTGATTTTTATTGCTTCCTTACATTAATTCTTAGTCACGCACTTCATAAAATTCCTCCACATTTCCTTTGCAAACAATCCTACAAAAGAAATTACCACAGTAAGTTATTAAACAAATATTTTTCATGACAATTTTCTCTCGAGATAGATGTCATATTACTTGTCTTTGATATAATTGAAGAGCTTCCACATTGCCGCGTGCATGTTTTGTCCAAGTGAAGTCACATGGTGGATAGAGTTATATGCTATTATGGCTATAACGATTAAACATACAATTGAATATCCAATCCACATGAGCGTTGGAGGAACGAGCAAGACAAGCACAAGTGAGAGAGGTGCAAGAATTATTGTGAACAAAGCAACAATTACTAAGATTTTCTGAAGAATGATGGGATAATTATATAACTGATTCGTGTAACTTGTATAATCCAGAATCCAGTAAGACAGAACAAAAATAATTACTGCAGCCAGTGACATGAACATGAAGAAACAATGCGTTTCAAACGCAGACTCTTGTGTTGATTGAAACTTCAACTGAACTAGTCCGATCAACGAAGTATATAAGACAAGAAGTCTCTCAACATGCACATGATGCAACATCCTAGAACAAATACGAAGCCTGGCATCAAGAAACCAAATCTAGCAATCAGTTCATGGATCTATTTGCAATATGACATTGATATAATACAATATCTTTCAATCCCCAAAAAAAAAATTAACACGATTGTAACTCACCAAGTTGGACGTTGAAAGGGTTCAGGAAGGATATTAGGGTCGATGGAAATGGCAATCTCTCCTTCTGGTCTTGTGGTGTCGGGACTTAGAACATGGTCCATGAAGAATATTAGGTTTGTGGATGGAGTTACACAAGATTGTTATTTGAGAATGTAGGTAATTTGGTGATATGGGATATACTATATATACGTTGGCGGTAAATGTTGATGCAAAAGTACGTGTATGTTTCATGGAAACTTCCTACACCTTCCAATGATATATGTGAAAATTGTTACTGTACCTTCTCTTCCTTAATCTTTATAGGTAGTTTATGAATAGGAATTGGCTTCTTATAATCTGAATTCAACAATTTGATCGATACAAGTATGGTTTATGTCATGCAATTTTTACATTTTATAATCATTAAATTTTGTTAACCACAAATTTAATCTCCTAATTCCACATATGTCCCGAAAGGGACTTCAATCTTCTACCTCAAAGAGAAAAAGAGCAAACATCTGATACCATTGGACTAAAAATCTTTGGTACGGTTAGGTGGTTAGTAATTGCAAATGTAAATTTAATTAAGTGACATCCAAGTCTTAAGCTTGATAATACTTATGATATTTACTATTATAAGGCATAAAGTATCAATTTGCTTTTCGATTAGCCTCATCTAATGTTACATTGGAATTTTTGGCGAATATGATGGATATATGGAGTAAAATATTGGTTGGAGATCAATACGTAGTATGAAATTCTTTGATCTCTTTATTTTTATCTTACTTAATATAGATAAACGAGCTATATTTTGATAATTTCTATATATAATATACTATACAATAAATAGATATTTTTTTTCATTATAAAATTGAAACCCTTTAACCCTTAAACTTTCATTTTAATATATTTAATTTATTAATTTAATATATATATATATATATATATATATATATATATATATATATATGTTAAATGTAAAATATTATCCTATTTATTGTGAAAATTTGAATTATCAATATAATATATTAAATTTGTTAANGAATATGATGTTATATCTAAAATTTAAATCAAAATACCAAATAAACTAAAAAATATTCATTTTTTTTAAATAGCTACAAAATATTTAAATGTTCTAAATATAAATCTGAATAGGCATTCATTTGAAACTCCACTAATATTCAAATTATTTATGATTACGATTCTAAATATGTTACTTAATGTAAGATAATAGAAAAAAATACACTTTATTCCTATTTTAGTTTTCTATAGGGGAAATCTCCAGAAAAGTCCTAAAATTTTACCCTAATTTACAAAAAAGTCTCAAACTAAATTTTGTTTACGAAAAAGCATGAATTACCGGTAAAAATGACGATTTGACCATTTTTTCCCGGTTTACCGGTTTCATTACTTATCTGTTTCATTAAAGTCTCATTATTTTATCTTAATTTACAAATAAGTCCTAAACTAAAATTTAGTGATGATTTGACCATTTTCTCTATGTAACATACATTTTACTGGTTTCATTATTGACCCGGACGCCTAGTCATTAAATGAGATGATGAGATGGATATATGTTGAGTTATATAATGTTATGTTTAGCATAAAACTTGATATCCTGATGTATTGTATATTCTTTTGGAACATAAAATGCATCCAACAAAGACTGCCATAATTACATAAACTAGCAGCAACTGCGTTATTTTTTACGTTTATAAGAAATATCAAATTGTCTATCTAATCTTATGTAACCCAATATATCCATCTCATGAGACATCAACTCATTTTCTGTCCTTTTTTCCTGGAAACACACATTTTATTGGTTTCATTGCTGACCTAGATACATAGCCATAAATAAGCCGATAAGATGGATATTAAATTTTATAGTAAATGTAGCATTATATAACTCATCGTATCCATCTTATCAGCTAATTTAATGACTAGGTGTCTAAGTCAGCAATGAAACCGATAAAATGTATGTTACATGAAGAAAATGGCCAAATCATCACAAAATTTTAGTTTGGGACTTCTTCGCAAATTAGGGTAAAATAATGGGACTTTAGTGAAACTGGTAAGTAATGAAACCGGTAAACCGGAAAAAAGGGGTCAAATCGTCATTGTTACCGGTAATTCATGTTTTTTCGTAAACAAATTTTAGTTTTGGATTTTTTTCGTAAATTATGGTAAAATTTTAGGACTTTTCTGGAGATTTCCCTTTTTATAACGATAATAAGATGTTTTCTAAATTAATAATTAATAATAGTAACATAAAATAGTAAATGAAATTAAGTTACTTTACAAACAAAGGGTTATATTTAAAAAAAATTATCACGAAAAAAAAGTCAAATAAATAAACTCTTAAGTTAATTGTTTATTAGAATAATTAAATGTATTACAAAATCAATATTTATACTGAGCTAGCAAGTCATGGCTATAAGGAATTTAGTATTATTAGAGCAATTTAGTGTAACAAATATTAATTTATAGTTAATGTCCATAACATAATCATCTTCAACGTCATATATTTGTCAGAAAATAATTTAATCTGCATAAAACATGGATATTCACCTAATAAAAACAAATTGTTAGACTTAATAAATTAAAATGCTTACAAACGACTAAAGAGGGTTATGTTTTATACATTCAATTTTATAAAGAAAAACAAAGAAGGTTGATTAAATTGTAATTAATATGGAATAAAAAAGATGGCATACGTGAATAATACAATGTACGGAAAATCTAGTTTTCTATTACTTCCCCGTCTCAAAATTATTGTCCACAGACAAAAAACACACAGATTAACAAAACATTAATTACCACTAACTTTATACAATAAAATGACAATTTTATCCTTAATTTGCATTTAATGTTCCGTTAAATGTTTCATTTTTGGTTTGTCCCAAAATAAAACCAAAAATAAAAGATGAACTATAATTTTGAGACAAATGAATATATAAAATACATATGTAACCGAAAAACACATTGTGTTGGATATATCTAAATAGAAAGAAGAGGATCTCTATGATATAGTCAAACTATAACAAACGCTATATATTTGAAATCGGACCGGTTATGTCTTAAACATATCTCCAAAAGCATCTACAATGATATATGAGAGTTCATTGGAATTAAAATGGAGTTCAATCTTCATTGAACGCATCATAGGAATTTTAGTGAAAAAAAAAATTGAGATTTTTTAAGAATTGAATGCTCCCTCTTCTATATGGCATTTCATTTTCTCCGAAATTGAGTGTAGATTGAGTGTAGACTGTAGATGCTCTAACACCCCGTTCCCGAGATTAACAAAAGAAAAGAAAAGAAGAGAAAAGAAAGTCATGAAAGAAAAGAAGAGAAAGGAAAGGAAAATAAATTTTTCTTTTGTGTTCCCGAGTTGGAAAGAAGTAGAAGGAAAATGAATCATTTTGTTATTTCTTTCCAAATCCTTCCAAATCGGAAGGAAAGTTAGGAGGGAAAGTGATCTTCTCATTTCCCTCCACTTCCTTCCACTTCCCTCCTTTAATGAAACTCGGGAACACCAATTTCTTTTATTTTCTTCTCATTTCCACTCATTTCCTTTCCTTTCTCTCGTTAAGTTGAACTCGGGAACGAGGTGTAAGTCCCAGAGGTATTTTGTAAAAAGTAAAGTTGCGACTTGTGCGTCAAAATTTTGAGAAGATGGGCCAACACATTACGGCCGTCAAAGATGACTAGATCATCAAAGCTTACCAACGTTGAAACGGTTTGGGCCTCTATCAGTTTATTGATTATCTACTTTAAAAAGCCTCACTCAAATGATTCCATTTTTGGTAAACTATTTCGGTTTCCATTTTTTCCATTTTCTGAACTTTTAAAATATTATATAATAATATACTAATTTATTTCTGATTAAAGATAAATCAGTTATAGAGTATAAAATAAATCTTTCAGTTGCATTTATTTATTTATAATGATTAGGCTAAAGGGTACGGTGATTTTTGTCTATCAAAACCTAGTGTCACATAAACACCATATAAACATTTGACATTTTTGTCATTATGAGTGGGTGTGGTTGCTTACCAATTTTTTTTTTTAAATTAAAAATATAACATTTACTATTAATATTAATTAAAATAACATAATTGTCACGACAATGTATTGAAATTTGGCTTCTACATCAGTGTATGATACAAAAAGTAAAAATTTGTTTATAAACTTAAGTTTTCACTGAAAAGTTTAGATTAAATCACTAAAATGTTGATATTAGTTTTTAAAAAAATATTTACTTAAAACTTTGAAAGTTATACTAACAGTGATATTTTGAAATTAATTTGGTTTAACCATCAAAATAATTTCTTTTATGATTATTTGGAATTAATAAAAGAAAAAAAAAGCCTCTAATAACTAGAAAACGGCATCAGGTGATCAAAAAAAAATCAATTGCTTTAAAATCTAAATATAAAAATTGGGGGTATTAAATGACGATTGAAAAATCAGATTTGTTCATTTAACTCTTTAAAAAAAAGAAAAAAAAGCAAGAAAAGAAAGAAAAGAAAGAAGAAAGACTCATTAATTCAACCGGTAAGTATAGAGAGAGAAAACAGCAATTGTTTGTCATTCGACAAAACTGCATAAATAGTTCCTATGGTTAGCTGAAAATTGTCACTTTTGTCCAAAAATGTTTGGACTAGCACCAGAAGTCAAAACTTTTCATTTTGTTGCGAGTTTGGTCCAATTTGCTATGACCTTTTTCTTAATGACGATTTTGCCCTTATTTTTTGTTCTTTTGCAATTTATTTTATTATTTAATTATTTTTTTATTAAAGGAAAAAATTAACAATAAAATTTGTATTTTCTATTTTATTTTTATAATTTTTTTATAACAGAAATAAACAAAATTAAAAATGCTCTCTCTCTCTCTCTCTCTCTCTCTCTCGTTAATGCCCATTCCTTCTTCATTACTTTTCCTTTACAAAAGCTTTGTAATGGTTTCTTCCCCAAAAATTCATCAAGAACATCAAATTAGATACAAGAATTTACCATCAGAACCAGAACAACGCCAAATCTCATTTCAAGCTTTTTCCAACAAAACCCAGATCTCATGTCAAGCTTCTTTTGGTGAACCTCCAAAGATACGACTCCCGCT